TGAGATTATTTAGTGAGTCATTTAATGGTGCCTCATTCTGTGGACCACAGAAGCCCTACAGTGAGATTCACTGGCAGCAATAAAGGCCAAATTGTGCTGAGGTTATCTGTCTACTAGATAAGAAATTTCACTCATTTGCCCAGATCTCCTAGGAGTATCAGTCTAACCCAAATTCCTCCTTCTTCCAACTAGCAAATACTTTCCATTCACCAAGCAGGATGCTATTGCTTCTTACCTTCCCATCCATCACTGCTTTCTTCATTTCTCATCATCATGATTCCAACAAATTTCCAAGTGCCAAAAAGCAAAGCTGAAGATCAAAGTGAGTTATCATGTAAAGGAGGATGAACATATTTCTGCAGTTAAGAGGTGGAATGACTTTCCTTGGAAGTATTTTATTACTCGAGCTATAAGGCTTGATTGGGGGGGGGGCATGGAGTCAATGTGTAGGTGAGTATAAGAAAAAAAGACATGCGGATCAAACTGCCAACTAGGAGAATGGAAAAGCATAAACTTTTCCAACATGTTTTAAAAGCTGTCTATAAGGTCATAAGGCTCACATGGTTTTCCCCACCTGTTGTAGTCAAGGTTTTAGGGCAATATCTTTATTGGGTTAACCAAGAAACTTTGCAAATGCAGATTCATGGTGTTACCACCCCTTCCACTCCCAAACTTTAAAAATTGTGCATCACTCTGTGATGTTTTGGTTGGCCTGAGAAAGGTATTGTTCCAATAAGAATTTTGGAGTTTTCTTATGGGCCAACATGGCTACCTTTACAACTTTACAACCTTGAACCTTATGTTCAGGGATTCCTATGATCACAGCACTGTATCATTTTGGGTTGGGCCTATTTTATTTATTATATGACATTTATACCCCACCTTTCTTCTCTCAAGGAACTCAGAGCAATGTACATGTGGTTTCCAGTTGGGCACTCATCAAAGCACAAACCAGACTCAGATATGCTTAGCTTCAGCAAGATGGTGGCTTTTTGTGCCTTCAGACCACACCCAAGGCACAACATGAGTCCCCAGTCCAATTGTCATCAAGTAATCACTTGAAGGTTAGGCTTTTTAAGGTTTCGCATGAAAACTGCAAACACATGGCTGATTTTTGAACAATGCAAATATGTTTTTATTACATACTATCTTTCTGTATGCATCAATTTGTCTGGGCCTCCTTATTTCCTAAGGGACAACCCAAGACCATTTGTTAGAATAAATGACAGATGCACAGAGAGCTCAAAGAGAATAAAGGAAAATGTTAATTGTTGCGTGAGCCTTCCCCTCTCCCCATTTTAATAAGTCAATTGACTTATATGCACCAGAGAATCTTTGCTTTTAAGTGAATAGCATGCTTTGGAGCAGATGAAAGAGATTAAAATATCTATCTTTTGGAAATTGCATGTCCTGTTTTTTGAGAACTTCAAATATCCACCCACACTGAGACCAGCATGGAAACATCTGAACTTTATTCCATCAAATATTGAAAATTAAAGCACTTTTAAATAACTATTCAAGTGATTCCTCCCTGCCCCCATATGCAGTGTCTTTTGTTTTTTAAATGCTTTTTTTTGTATTCTGCGGAAGAGAGAAAAAGCTGATTTGAAGGAAGACAGATGGGCCAAACACGTGGTAGTTGTTGGTGGGTTCAGAATGATCACCATGTTGAAAGGTCACAAATGTTACTTATTAGCCATATGACTTTTATGAGTAGTAAAAATGAACCACCAGCTCTCAAAGGGAATCTTCCAAAGACAAGAAGCATTCTGTTTAATTACGGGTGGCCACTTAGTATGCATGGAGAGAGAAAAGAATGTATAAATGAAACAGGATGGCGTAAATAGGGGTGTATATGAGCAAGCTGTCTGATGCATTGTGACGAGCACCTTGCCCAGGTCATTAGGCTGCAGTAACTGGAACTGATCCATCACACTCAGATGGTATGTCAGACACGTGGACAGATTCTGTAATATCAATGGCATCAATATCATTTTGGAGGTGAGGAACTTCAGGCTCACAGTGTGCTGCAAACTGATTGCCTGCAAGTCACATCATGTTCATTGTGCTGATGGTAGGTAACTCAGGCTCACTGGATTGCCTTGAGCAGGAGATCTTTATGCTATGACACTGTACAATAGGAAGGACTGGTTTGCAATTCTTGGTTCAGCACAACTTTAGCTACAAAAAGTAACATCTGCCAGTACTTGGTTTAAGAGCTTAGTTCACATATGCACCTTCTTCCCTTGGCGACTTGCATGTGTGAATTAATCTCAAATCATAGCAACAACTTTCATATCATGTGGTGTCATCGCAAAGCCAATGCTTTTCAATGGGTCAGTTGATCATTAAGTAGCAATGAGAAATCCGGTGGTGCCAATGCATGACTGACCTTGCTCTAATGCCCTCTTAAGATGGCAAGAAAAATCCCACAAGTACTCTAAGCAATGCGTGTTATACTCTGTGGGCGGATGTGCACCCCAAGTGGTTAAAACAATTTCATATTCAATTTCACACATTTATCATCTGGTGGATTACACTGGGATAACCCAATGAGCCTCCTTGAAAGAGAAATGAGATGCAAAGAAATAGATCTCCTTTTCCAGCCTAAGGTCCATATTCCCTCATGGGCAGATTTCCAGGGCCCGCATGGCTGTGGTAAGTACGGCCAGATGCAAAAATGGTTGGGCAGAGGTAAAAGTGGGCAGAACAATGGATGTGACTCTTACCTTTGTACAATAAACTACATTTCAGCCATGCAAAAGTTTCCACACCCATATCTCTTCATCCTTCACGCAGCAGGCAAGAGGAATGAGTAGTTCACAGACATATCCCAGCCAGGCAAAAGTACTGGATGAGGGAGGAGAACATGCCCAGGAAGGGGGCATGGGCAGGGAACAGACCTGAGGGTCAGAAAGAGAGACCCAGAGGACCACATTTGGTTTCTGGGCCTGAGGTTCCTCACCCCTGTGATAGATGAAATTATCCAGTAAACATAAACCCATTACAGTTGTACCTTGGGTTACAGACGCTTCAGGTTACAGACTCCACTAGCCCAGAAATAGTACCTCAGGTTAAGAACTTTGCTTCAGGATGAGAACAGAAATTGCGCGGCGGCGGCAGCAGAAGGCACCATTAGCTAAAGTGGTGCCTCAGGTTAAGAACAGTTTCAGGTTAAGAACGGACCTCCAGAACGAATTAAGTTCTTAACCCGAGGTACCACTGTACTTATCCAATTCTATTCATCTATCTACTTCCCAAATTGTAAAATATGGTTTTCTATTTGCATGCCAAAGTTTTCGTATCATTATGACAAGCATCAAGTCTTCCATGAGGCTGGCTGGAACTGACATTTGGCTCATTATTTTCAAGAACTTGAAGTCCATTGGTGGTTGGGACTTCCGGGGTGGCGCCTCCGGAAAATGGCGGAATTCCCTTCGGACTGAAGGGAACCCGCTGCACGGAGGCTTGGGTCCTGCCGCTACGGCGCAGCGGGGACCCTCAAAAACCACAGGCGGAAGAAGCCTGTGGACGTGGGACTCGGCGGGCACCGAGAGCGCTCTCTCCCTGTACAGGAGCCCGGTAACGGGCTCCGGAGTGGGAGGTGCGTGGTGCTGTGAGTCGACTGCTTCCTCCGTGCAGCAAAGCCGCACTGCCGTTATCGGAGAGCGCTGCCTTTTCCTGGACAATTTGGCATCTAAAACATCTATCCGTGAGTACCTGATCTTGGAAGAGTTGAACTACTTTTAAGACTGGTGAATAAACAAATAATATTGGACTTGAAATTGAACTTAATTGGGACTCGGAACGCGAAGGTCTAAACAGGAAGTCAGCCTTCCGTTCTTTTGTTACGTGAAGAAAGCAAAGACAAAATATACTAAAGCTTGAAAATTAAATTCTGAGAGAACTAGAATTCAACATCTAAGATTTCTGAACCCCCTTTGACTGCAGGAGAAGAAGGGGGTTGTATTTGGACTTTTCAATCCTGCGGAAGTGAGTTTAAAATAAAGCAATTTTCCACCGCCCTGAACCAGGAGCGGGCTGTCAGAATTGACGTTTTGAAGTTTATCCAGCTCGACAGTTAGTTAAAAGAAGGGTAACATTTTGATTCTACTGTTGCCTCTTGAATTTGGAAGGGGGAATTTTGGATAAAGTGTTTCTGGAAAAAGAAAGATTGTTGCTGTTGCTTTTATTCTTTTTTTTTTTAAAAAAAAAAATTTCCATCTAGTGGAATTTAGTGAAATTGCAACGCAGAGAGTTTAAAAGAGAAGGACTATTGGACTATTGTCGTGGGAAGGAATTTTCTTTGACCTTGAAGGACAATGCTAGTACAAAGGCTTGAACAATTGTTCCTGGAAGGTTTTTCAAAACTAAGTGCCCAGCTGGACCAGATGCGTCAGGAGACGACCTTGATGATGGAAGTTACCAGAGCACAGCAGCAAACAAATGAAATTCAGTTAAAGGCTATACAAGCATATGAACCTGCTGTAGTGACGGAGGCTTCAGAGATGGAGGGACCTTTGGACGGGCAAGATCAGCCTTTGAACTTGACAAATGAACTTGGGACAAACCAGATTCGGAAAGATGAAATGTGGTCAGATTTGGAAATGGGGGGATGGATCGACCCCCCTCTATATGGTTATTTGGACCTTCCGAGTCTAGTGAAGGGCTATCAGAGGATTGGAGTAGCCGAAGTCTCCAAGCTTTGTGGAAATTTGAAGTGGTATTATCTGCTGTCTGGCTTGGGCAATGGGTTTGGGATGGACTTGCTGCAAAGAGTCAAAAGCATTTTCTTGCTGGAGTATCCACGACTGGAAGGGAATCATCAACAAGAGTGGCGAAAGGGGCAAGAAAGAGACTTGAGGGCCTCGGATACGAGACAACCAGGTTAAGGAGCTGGATTATCGAGGTTAAAAGGACTGACAATCCCGGGTCCAGGGGAGGGGAGGTTGGAAGCTGGCTGGACTGAATTTGACTTATTACTTTTCTTTTTTATTTTTAATATTGGAATGTTTACAAATGTTTGAAGGATGTTGAATGAAATTACATGGCTTAAGTAAGGATTGGTAAATGATTCGTAAAAGGTAATGATGTAAGAATTTGGTAAATATTGAATATAAGCTATGAGTTTTAAAGTTTTTATATGACAAGAGGGAAAATAGAATAAGGAAACGTAATGACAGATTGTTATGAAAAAACAGAAAGGATTTGCTGTAAAAATTAAAAATTAAGAAACAAGAGAGGGGAGGAGGAGGAAGTCTAGAAAGGAAGTCAATAGAGATTGTAAAGGACTTTATATTTTTGTTTTTCTGTTTTTCTTTTTTTTCTTTGCGGCTGGGTTTTCTTTTCTTTTTTGTTTATGTACTATTTTTGTTTTTTGTATTTTCAAAATTTTTTGGAAATTTTTGTTGTTATTCTTTGAAAACTTAATAAATATCAATTTAAAAAAAAAAAAATGAAGTCCATTGGTGGTTGTTCCATCTGGCTGCATCTGAGGGAGAGGTGGCAAAGTAAGGTACACTCTGTAGATTTTGCTCATCTTCTTCCAGAATGGTCTAAATTGAAATCCACCCACCTGGCTTCATCCAAGGCAGAAGAGAGACCATTGACAAGCTACCATTTTGACTCCTTCATTTCCAGATCTGTCTCTCAAGGCAGTGACCACAGAAGAACCTCACTTCCATTTATTTCCCTCCCCATCCCTTTTGAATCATGCCTATTAGATTGTAAGCCATTATTTTAAGCTGTGAAGTATCTTGAGTGCACTGCAGAAAGGCAGCTTATATAAATGTAGCAAATAAATTTCAAATATAGGCCAATTGTGCTTCTAATAGATCTCTGGGAAGGAAAGCAGTTTGCTAAGAAATCACTTTGAGTTTGTTGAGTACATATCCTCACATAAGATCCTTTTAAATGCTTGAAGACTGTCAATTACACACACACATACACGTACGTCCATGCACGCACAAACGTACACATGCACAAAGTGCTATGCCAAATTGTGTCCTCCAGTTTCTTGAATTCCCTCCACACACCCCACAAAAAAGAAGCTCTGTGTTGCTGCCTGAGTCTCAGGATGTTTTAGAATTTCATTCGAACTGGGGGTGGGGGTGGAGTGTTTGCTTTTCTTTCTGTTGAATGTTTCTCCAGTAGTCTGCAGCCTCCCCACTCAGGAGTGTTCACCAAAACTTTCTCTCACCTTTAATAATTTTCAGATGATGTTTCTTTTCTCATCTATTGATGGAGAGTAGTTGAGGAGGGAAAAAAAAAGAGAGAATACATTTTCAGAACAGCACCAGCTGTTTCCTGGCCCTCCCTTCCACAGCTGGTTTGCCACTGATACCTTGGATTGCTCCTAATGACCACTGAATTTCAGGCTAATGGGAAACTGCCCCACCACCTTTGCCTAGCTGCCTGCCTTCCTATTGACACCCAGGCCAGCTCCCTCCTCCTTTTTAAGCTGCATTTGTAGAACTCAGCCAGGAAGAGGATGGGGACAATATTAAAATTAAAATTAATTAATATTAAAATTAATTGGTTCTGCCTGTCATTGGCTCTGGCGCCACCTATTGTTTCAGCTTGCTGACTTCCACCCTACCAGCCCAAATGGGCACCTGCCACCGCTGCTTATCCCTCCCCCCACTCCAGACCTGGTAACCCTACCTCTGTGAAGGCTGAGGCTCCTCATCATTTGCTACCATTTGCATCAGGGCCTCCTGTACTACTGCCTCTTCCCCTACAACCACCTTGATAACTTAATATGTATTTTCAGGCACTGTCTTATCAAATATGTCTCCTTTCCCTAAGCTGCTTAATTTCTTCTGCGATTCCACCATCACACCTAAGGCGGTTGCAAGTTTTGGGATACACAAACAGGCTCTCCTTGGCATTCTGGGATAGGATCTCTGCGAGCCATTGCCAAAACAATATGTGCATGCAGCATTTCTGAAAAGCAGCCGGTGCAAACAGAGCCTTTAGGGAAGACTGATCCATTTGCCACCATTAATCTTAAAAGCCAAGGGATTTGAAATAACGATTGTCCCAGATAGCTTCCATTCATGGGTGAAAAGAGAGTGCGGGGAGCATCATTACCCAGTCACTGTAGGAAGAAGCCACAGAGATCTGCATAGTCTGCATAAGCAATGTACCTCAAGCATTTTAGAAGCCTTACAGAGGATAGGGCCATGTTTCTAAAATTCATATTCAGCAAAACAGCCCCCCTCCTTCATTTAGATTTCAGACTAATGGCCATATGGTTGTTGTATTGTATGCTCCACAAACCATTCCTTCAAAGTCTTGGAAGGAATCAAAGTTCACCAAACTGTGGCCAGCCTCAAGCATTCATGGCAGTGATCAAGCTTTCCCCTATTGTATTAGTTACCATGAGGTTGCTGAAAAGGTCAGGCTATTGCAGGGGTAGCCAACACAGTGCTCTCCAGAAGTTGTTGGACTACAACTTGTATCACCCCTGGCCTACGGCCATGCTGGCTGGATCTGATGGGAGTCCTCCAGCATTTGGAGGGCACCCTGTCAGCTGCCCCTAGGCTATTGTATAATGCTTTTCCACCATGTAATTGGCTTAACGACACAATATGCCAGCCCTTCTTTTCTACAGAGCAATAATAGCTTTTCTGAAATTTGTTTCTGCTATATTCCAGAAGTGGTCAACCGCCGCTTTAGTGGTCTAATCTGCATTTCCTCCCCTCGACTTACCAAGACCCCACTGGTTTTGGAAATGGCAGAGAAAAGAAAGTTACTGTAGACAGAGCAGTGGAATGAGTGGAGCCCAGCACCCTGATGGGGATGCAGATTGTGCACTCCCCAGTTATTGGATCAATCATTTGATTAGACTGACTGGACCGGCTTGCAGATTTCTTTCTCTCTCTCTTTTTCTCTGTCTCTCTGTGTGTGCATATGGCAGTGTGTGGATGAGAGGATGTCCACACCATGCCAAGCCAAAGGTGAATGTGACTCTCAGGCCAAAAAAAGAATAGCCACTCTTGTTATAGCCATTACATTGCTCCTGCAACTATGCAATTTTTCTACTCAACAAAGTAAAATCACAGTTGCTATTATAAAATACCTGCAATAAATAAAATCCTTATTTCAGCCTGCTGGTTGGGGATCGGATCTTTGAACGCTTGCTGCAGATGAAAAGAAGAGACAACCAACCTCCTGCTCATACAGGCATGTTAACCGTTAGCCTGGTCCTTGTTCTGAAGATCTACTTTTGTTGAGTGTGTATGAAGTTTTTAATGTGGGAGTAGAGTGCAAATAATCCCCCGTGAGGTGGTACATTCCAGCAAGAAACACATTATATGGGTTTGTTGATCATGTGTTTAGTCTCTGAGCATTCCAAAATGGCCCTTTTCAAAGATGTTGCCCATGAGAGGACAATCTCTTGCTTTTTACTGGGATATAATGGGTTCTATCCAATGCGGACACGGGTGGCGCTGTTCCGTGCGCTGCTCTGGTTCGCCAGAAGTGGCTTAGTCATGCTGGCCACATGACCCGGAAGTTGTACGCCGGCTCCCTCGGCCAATAAAGCGAGATGAGCGCCGCAACCCCAGAGTCAGTTACGACTGGCCCTAATGGTCAGGGGTCCCTTTATCTTTACCTCTTTATCTAATGCTAGCCCTATAAAGAGCAGACCCACTGAGGTTAATGAACATGCCTAACTTAGGAACCTTCATTTCAATGGGTCTATCCTGAGTAGGATGAGAACTGGGTATAACCTGTTTAATGGCATGTGTTATGTTCTATTTCCCTTCCCCCAGTCTCATGCCCACCCATCTGTCTTCCCAGAAAAATATCTATCTTTTCTACTGAATTGATTTCAAAACATATTTCCCATGGAACTTGCTGTTCCTCAATAAACAAATGAATGTGCTGTGTTGATACCGATATTTACATGATTCACTGTACTTAAGCACAGTTAGCCATTAATTTATTAACTCACAAGAAAAACCACAGGGAAAATATCAGCTTGTCAAAAGGCTAGTCTCTTGATATAATGAATTTGGGAAGTGATGCATTGTACAAAGAAAATGCAGGTACCTTTGACCAGCTGGAGAAACACAAGACAGGTATGGATGACTCTAAGAGATTGGGGTGACCTGCATCCTCAAAGGTGGTGGGGAGACAGGAATACCAGCAAGCACAGCCTGTCATGTCATATTACTACAGAACCAAAAAAGCATTGTAGCAGAAATTCCCTCTTCTTCCTATTAAAGGGAACAGACCTTCTGTTTGTGACTGTATCCAGCCAGCCTAGGTACGGTTCAGTGGTCTATGAGAGTGTGACTGCATAACTGCACATCCTGAGGTGCTAAGAAAACATGGAAAGTTGGGGGAATTCCTGCTTAGATAAAGCACTGTGTGTGCTGTGAAGCTACTGTATCCTTCAGGTGCCTACAATACAATTTGGTCAATGCTAGATGCACAAGTCTTCCATATGAGGAGGTGCGGTGGGTTCTGGGGAAAACTGATTCTGAACACTGTGGGCCAGTTTCAGGGTAGTCAATGCAGTGCTCACCATATTTTTTAGATTACCACTCCCATCAGCCTCAGCCAGCGTGACCAATGGCCATGGATGATGAGAGTCAAAGTTCAACAATATCTGGAAGGCACCAACTTTGGCTGTCCCTGACCTAGTGTCAGGTAGGTAGCCATGTTATTCTGACACAGTCGAAATAAATATATATATATTTTTAAATGTTCAGTAGCACCTTAGAGACATGACCTAGTGTGTACTTGTCTTTTCTGTTGTCATAAACACTGTAAGAGGGAAACATTTCTTAAGCACTTGGGAGGAAGGAATTCAGAATAGCACAAAATGTGCAATTCTTTTTCTCAGAAAAATGATTATTTTCACTATAGTTATCCCAGTACCCAGAGATATGAGATGGGGAAGATGGATTCCATCTGGATCCTGAACCACAATTTTGCTACTACTGCTCTAGTGTCTATTCTGCTCTTGTAGCAATTGTCCCTGACTCTGAACGCCTTCACCCCCAAGTTCTGGAACTAATGTTGTGATCTTTCTTTGGCTCAAAGTTAAGGGTGGCCTTGGGAGGGGGGTTAATTCCAGGAATCCCAAGCAGGGCGATTTTGCTCACAAAATGCTTACAATGATGGAAGGGCATTATGAGGTGCTTGTTTTTGATTCCCCTGAAGTCCCCTACGCCCCTTGAAAATTTGCCGAAGCTTATTGGAGATTTTCCAGAATAGCATGAGAAGTCATGGAGGGGGCTGTGGAAGGAAAGAAAAAAGGTGAAGAAAAATAATCTCACTCCCTTTCATCTGCTAGAGCTTCTATTGGATGAAAGGCTTTGACTAGCATTGGATACAACCCCCAGGTTCTTTTGATACAATTCAAAATGAGTTCTAGAGAGTTCACTAAAATATGTTCCCTGTATTTAAAGGACTCTTGTGAAGTTTCCTATTAGATTTTATGCATTTTTCTTTGTTTATGAGATTTTTTTTACTTGCTCTTCACCATAAGGCCCCAGGGCAGGTTACAGCAAAACAGTATAATATACAGATATAAGAAACAGGTAAAATAGTGACAATTATAAAAATAAGAAAAGCTGTTCTAATCAGAATACAACAGTACAATGGTAATTATAGAATGCATTTATCCACTCTGATTTTTTTTTTTAATTCCTTCCCTCAGCTGTTTTTGCTTTCCTCATGGTACATATTTATTTTCTGAAATGCATGATCTATTCACAAATATTCATGTGGGTTTCCATGTGGACTGCAGTCAGCACACTGGAACACACTTTCTTGATTTCCATCTAGAAAACATTTGAATATTTACATGCCTTAGCAAAAATAGATTTTCTTAAAATGTAAAAATGTGTCTAAATAATTTGCAGGGTCTACTTTTTTCCTAGTCTGCAAATTGCAGATTAACTTCAATTGATTTAAAACACAGTGTATGATAAGAGGGCCAGAAAGGGGTGCCTAACGTTAGCAGTGTACACAGAGAAGCCAGTTATAAAGGCACCACAATCTTCCTTTGCTGTACTCTAAGCTCTGTCAGACATTACCAGCTCCAGATATGAAATCAAGAACCGATCATATATATTGATCATGCCAACATATAGCAGTATTTACTTTGGATTCAAGCACAATCTGTTTTCCATACTTCTGTTTATTAGCTTGAAAAGTGCTTAGAGCTCTAGAATAATTTACCACTCCCTATCTGAACTTTAAAAAAAATAATAGTGTAGAAATCTCCTTCCATAAACACTTCTGAATATCAAGGTGGTTGTGTTGTCCTCTTGCACCAAAAAGTGGAAGACCGTTTTTCAGGCACACAGTCATTAGGCTACCATTTCACAGTCAGCACAAACAACAGCACAAGCATGCTCTGTGTTCCTTCCTTTTGATTCACATTCAATTTTGCCAAAGTCAGGGTTATGGACTCCGGCCAGCCAATCCGGGTGGCCGGGGTGCATGGCTTGGCTGATTTAAACTACTGTGCGGCCAAGGGATCTCCCTTGTTTGTCCGGCTTCTGCGGAGCTCCCACCCTCCCTCTTTTCATGTGTCCTCTTCTTGGCCTTGCCATGGACCTTGGTTGGTCACTATTGAGGGGCCTGGTAGGCATTTTTCCACTTGGCAAATTGGCACTCGCCATTTGGTTTTCGCCTACCTCATAGCAATCATCACAACTTTTGTAAGGTTTGGCAGTTAGGCATTGGTAAAGCCTGGTTTGGGGGAGGGCAGGTTTGGCCATCACCTGCCCCTCCATGTAAAAGGGTATTCCATTAAAGGAATCCAGGGGTTGTGGTTCCTGCTCAAAGCCCAGGTGGTTGCTAGGGCCATGGCACGGCCTTGTCTGTGACCCTGGGGGAGCTCTAGTTGATGTGCATCAGCAGGGCTCCCCCTATTGCTGGTTGACCCTTACCAGGCTCCCTGCATGGCGGGCAGGCGTCACATATAGTTGGTTTAATTCCAATGCCTAAGCCAATACCACTCACATTCTGTAACCAATAAACTTGTGGCCTAAATTTGCCAATTGAACCTAAAATACTGAGTCCCGGTATATTATTCACCATAGGGGGGAGGCCTCGGTGTCTTGACATGCAAGAGGGATTGATAGTTCAACCATTCTGTGAAGCAGAGGTGCCAGCTTCTCCAGAAGATCGTGTGTGTGTGTGTGTGTGTGTGTGTGTGTGCAATGTTGCACGGTGTCCTGATGTCACATGCATGACGTCCTCTGAAAATTGAGGGTGCCCAGCCCCCTCACAAAAATATATTCAGAGGGCTTAAGCTGCCTTGGCCCCCTAGGAGTTGGCACCCCTGCTGTGAACTGTAGCTCTGGGAGGGAAATAGGGGTCTCCTGACAACTCTCAGCACCAGGCTGACCCACCCATGACAGCTGAGGCAGGTGGTTTGGGTAGCAAAAGCTCCAAAGGTGGTGGTGCTGTGGGTGCCCCGCTGCCTCCGCCACTGGCGACTTCCAGTGAGATCTTGCTGAAATCTCCATGAGTTTTCACAAGAGCTTGCAAGATCTGGCCAGAACCCACCACTGCTGCTTTGCAGGCACCACCACGCCACCTGGGTAAGGGAAGCTTTGGCAACTGCAGGACGGCACCTTCTTGTTTCAGCTCAGGTGGAGAAATGGGACATACATCCCTTGTTCAGCACCCTTAACAAACTACAGAATTCTTTGGAGGAAGCCAATGTGGTATCATCAGAATATGTAGCAGCTTCCTGCATCCCTTTCTAAAATGCTTTGCATAATCTGAGTGACTGTTGACATGGGGGCTTCAGCACATTCCAGGCAAAGTCTAAATCCGCTCTTGCCACCGTCTTTGGTGTCACCACAGTGCCACAAGACTGAGAGCAAACAAAGACTTTATGCGGATAAGGGTTAAAGAAGAAATCCTGTCATGACTTCCTTACAAGAATAAAGCAAGGAAAGATTTAGCAACCGTGTGCCAGTGGGGGATTTTAAAGCTGGATTGTTTGTAGCACATCCCATTTCGGTGCTTTGCTACTGTTTTGTCTAATGAATGGTTTTGCTTAAAAACCCCTCAATTATCTGGAGAGAGTTTATGCATTTCCAGTCCTAAGCAAAACCAGTGTTGATAAGGCCAGAGCGGTTCCTGGTGCATCAAACACGATACATAAAAAATCTGAAACAAATCAACACAACCCGCACATCTGCTGGGGTATGCCATACGGAGCAAATAAAGGCACAAACTCAATTTGGAAAGAAGAACAAATTCCTTCGCAAACCACTTCTTATATTGTTTAACTATCTCATGCATCTTGTTTACACATGGTTATTTTGGGAGTAAAAAGCAAGGTCTTCATGTTTATTGCTCATGTGAATGACAGAACATTCGATTTGCGTCTCCGTCGTGGGAGAGGCTCTGAGACTGAATGACTGTGCTGGTAAGGAGAGAGGTAGAAGGTTGTTATATCGTTATAGAAAGATGTTTGCATGAAATACAGGAAACGACTTGATTGGCATTTCATGAAACCAAGCAGCCGCCATCCTGGAATGTAAACTTTAATTTGCTAATTGCATTCAAATCATTTTATACCTATTGTGGCAGATTTTCAAATGTTGCATTTGAAATGTAACTTAGGCCTGCTTGACTTACAACTTGACAAGCCAAGGATACCCCATCAGCCCCATGCTGGAAGCTTCCTCCACCCCCTAAGTCTCCAAGGACCTTGTAAAACCACTGTTTTTCTTCCCACCCCTCTTCTTTCATGGGGAAAGGGCAAAAAGAAAAGACCACCCAAAACTGAGATGGGGCTGGGAGAGATTTCTGAGAATTGGGGGGCAACGGGCTTGGTTTAATTTACTTTGCAGTCAAGAAATCACCATGAAAATGATGCTCCATAGCATTACTATGGTGATCTGGTGCAGGAAGAGTAACCCAGTTGGCAAGAGTATAGAAGGTTCTGGAGTTGAGGGAGCCTTGCTGGTTGTAACAAGTAGCCAACAAGGGTGTGTGGTTTTTTTTAAAAGTGTTAGTGAAAAAACAGGACCCTTCATGGGCCAACTGTCAGAAGGTAGTTTCCCCCACCCTGAGATTTTGTGTACAATTGTGTACAATTGAAGCAACACATATGGGCATTTTAGATGTTGATGGACTACAACTCCCATCATCCCTGGCCATTGGTCATGCTGGCAGGGGTTAAAGGGGGCTGGTGTCCAACAGCATCTTGAGGGCCATAGGTTCCCTGCCCCCTGGACTATATTGACTAGCAGTGGCTCTCCAGGAATTCATATGGGATCTCTCGCACCCCTGCCTGGATATGCTGGGGACTGAACCTGGGACCTTCTGCGTGCAAGACAGATGTTCTACCATTTAGCTACAGCCATTCCCGACTTGAAATGGGCTAGTCATGGTGACTTGTGTAACCAAGGGACCTGTATCATGCCATTTGCAGCTTTTGACATCTTAGCAACAGAAGTGGGGTGCCATTTGGGATTGCTTTCTTATATACCCAATTGTATGTTTTCTGTCCTTTTCCTAAATAAACCTTCTTTAAGAATTCTACTGTCAGGGACTGGCCAGAACTGGAGGAAGCAGTTAGGCATTTAGCCATTGAGCTTGTGACATCTACTGAGTTTTGTTTTGGGAAGTCAGTAGCCTAAGACCTCAGAAAAATCTATTATTATCTACCAATATCTATGTATTTTTTCCTAAGCTCCTTGATATAATCATCTGTAGGCATATATTATAAAGCAATACTTTTATTGAGTTTTCTTCAATTACACAAACAATGAAACTGGAGAACAGTTCCAGGGAAGCAGTGTCACATATCACGTAATACACACCGTTGTTAAACAAATGAAAGATAAAAGAAATACCCAATAAAGATACAGCTAAAGAACAAGAGGCCAGGATATTATCATAAGTTTTGAATTTCCATGGATCGATGTAGATTGTTACTATTGATGTATGAAATGAAGTTCCACCAAATTGCATAAAAGGCCTGTGGTCACTCTTTACCTTTGCATGACTCTCATATTATGCGCAATCATCTCAGATGTAGCAATGCCCCATGTTTTTGTACCATAAGGAAAGCTTCAAATCTTCCAGTTTTTTTGCTCAATATAGTCTTGCAATGGTCAAAAACAAAAACAACAACAACAAACAAAAGTTCCTTGTCTTTAAAACCCACACTTATATTCTCAAATAAAGATAAAAATGACAACTGTGGTCTTTTAAAATGTCAATAATTACCTTATATATCTTAGTCCAGACCTCTTTGACTAGTGGACGCTCCCATCACAAGTGCTAATAAATACCCTGCACTGTAAATTATGAAGTTGGAAATCATACTTTTAGGGAAGCCCCATTCTTAAGTTCTATATTATCCTGCCATTTTCAAGCTATCCCCAGAGTTAGTTTGAGGTCCACATCCTATCAATTTTTCAGGTATGCACCACTAAAAATGTGTGAAGGCTGTACAATGCAAGTGTACAAGTCAGAGAACTGTGACTGTGAATTTGCAGCTCTTTGTCGAGCAGATACTTGGGAACATAGGAAGTGGCCTTATACTGAGTCAGAACATTACTCCTTCTGTCTCAGTGGCAATGGCTTCCCAGAGTTTCAGACAGGAGTCCTAACCTGGGGAATGAACCTGCAACTTTCTGCATCCAAAGCAGTTGCTCTTCCCCCAAGCAATTTTTATCCATAATGGCATTATACAGTGATCCTAAGGATGGGGAAGATGTTGGTCCCATGGCAGCCCTTGGTTCATGGCTGAGAGAAGAATAAGGAAGTAAATAGAAATAGATTCTACCGCATCTTTTATCAGAAACCTTATTATCCGACACCCTATTCCACCATTCACTATATTTCTCTCATATTGATTGCCATTATCCTCTGACTGCTGCTGAAAGCCATTTCTCTCTCTTAGGTTTGTAAACTATTGCGCCACATCAGGACCTGTCCTTAGCCAGCTGTCAGAAGATGGCTCCCCAGCAACTACCGGGACTTTGCATACGATAGAAGCAACACATATGTGCAGCTTCCAGCAGCTCAGCAACTAAGGATTGCAGATTTGTGAATTTGCAACTGTTTGCTCTGCACAGCCACCAGCTGCACACTTAACAGCTTATCTCCTTGTCAGCAAAGCAAAAGAAAAATGAACAGCGTAGAGAAATGACTCACACCATTCCTACAAGGATTTGTTTGTTTGGAAGCCACTGCATTGTCTGGTAGCAGAGGTTTACTTGAAGCTAGAAGAAGCCACCATTGAATTCGATCGAGGCCTTTCCAGAGGGCCAGTTCATAAGTATCATGTGAACATTTGTTGCTCATTTGTTGCAATGGAGCTCTTGTTTTTCTCGAAGGAATCAGCTCTGTTTCAGGTCACACTGCACCTTTCAAGCACTACAACTACAGTACATACCCTCCAAAATTTCTCCGATGAAAATACGGACAGCCTATTTCATCATCATCATCATCATCATTTTATTATTAATATCCCAACCCCAGCCATTCTGTGCAGCTTCCAACATATATAGAAACATAATAAAACATAAAGCATTAAAAAAACTTCCCTATACAGAGTTGCCTTCAGATGTCTTCTAAAAGTTGTATAGAGTTACTTACTGAATCTCCTTGGCTCAGGGGTCACAGAATTCCATATCCTCCAACATTTCTCTGATGAAAATAGGAACATCCTAAGGAAAAGAGGGACATTCTGGGATCACATCAGAAACTGGGACGACTTCAGGAAATCTGAAAATAGGGGGAACTTGGAGAGCCTGCAACTAGCAAGTGTTGTCTGCAAGGAAACTGTGATTAATTCTGCAGCTAGCAGGGCCATCAACTGATCATATTAACTGGAGACCCCAACTGAAATTGGAACATTCTGTATGGGCCCTCTTGTCAATGACATGCTATCGGTGGTGCAGTTAGGTGGTTAAACTTGGGACCTCATGGCCTTGCAGTTGCATGGAGGGGGGTCTTTAGATGGTAATATATATTTCTTCACATACTTCAGAATGCAATACAACCGCCCTCCTGGCTCTGGGGGCATTGCTACACAGTGCTGAGTGGGGTTCTGGACTTCGACCCCAAAATCTTGCTCAGAGGGCAGGGATGGGGAAGAGATTTGATTCTTTCTGCATTTTAATGGGAAATGATTTGTACTTCTCTAATTTGTACTTCTCAATCTAATATGCAAACCCAAACACAGCAACCCTTTAGAATTTGTACTTCTCAGAATTGCACAATGCAGTTCTCCAGCCAAGTAATGTGTACCGGTATGCGCACAATAAGGGAATGTGCATTTTCATCAGCACTATATTCAGCAATATTATGAGAAACTTGCACTGAAATACAGCTTTTTAAAAATAAAAAATTACAAGCTTCTGCAGAAATGTGGAGAACTGAATTTAAAATCGGGGGGAAAATAAAAACTGAAACTGAAATTGACAGGTTCATCCATCCCTGCCTAACAGCACCACTGTATGCTAGGCATACATACATGAGCATGTGAAGAGTTCACTGAGCATCAGCAAAGGTCTAAATCGGCATGAACAAAAAGTCCAAATGAAAGGTCTGAAAGAGAGGCAAAAGCCAACTGAAAAATGATGCTGATTTTTGACAGAGATGAAAATGAAAAGCAGGAAGGACTTTTGGCTCAACCCTTGCATTCACCCATATTTATTTTATTGAAGCATCTTTGAAAGGCTTTAGAAAGCCATTGTCATGTCTCTCAGCTTCATTTTCTGAAGGGGGGGGTAGGAAATCCAGCTTGCTCATATTTTAATGCAGATTTAAAGTACTGCTTTCGATCACAATGAAATTGACTCTTAATTCCGCCTGCTAGGGATTGGTCAAATGAACATTCTGGACCTCTCTCCCTGTTCAAGCTCAGAAGATTTGGATTTGGGAGCTCATTTCCGTATCTATTTGTGTTTTCCTACTGGCTTGCAAGGAGGCTTGTTACAGCATGTGGAGCTCATTTATTGCTTATATTCTCTTCCCTCTCTGCTCCAAAGGACGTTCAGCAGTGTATTAATTAGCTAGCACTCTAGCTCAGCAGTCTGCTACATTCACCTTGTGCACCGCTGGACTCCTGCTGAAGTCCCAAGCATCTCTTCTCCAGCCAGAGATGTATATTTCATGAGTGAATGGCATATAAACGTGCTCCATGCTACAAACTCCAGTTTCCAGGTGCTAATGCTGCCTGAAGAGCTTGTCAATCTCAATAAGTGTGTGCATGCATGGGGAGAAAAGGAAAGAAATGGTGGGCAGAGGCTGGACCGAAGAACCATTTTGCCCACACGGTATATAAAAAAGGAAAGACTGCCATATTGGACCAGACTAAGGTCTATCTGGTCCAGCATTGTTTCCAACAGCAGCCATTCAGGTGCCACTAGAAGATCACAAGGACAGTAAGAGGGTGGTGGCTTTTCCCTGTTTGTCTTCAACTAGGGTGGCCATGATGTGACACTCCTCTGTTGGTATGGCTGCCATAGAATAGACCTTATTAGAAAGGTTGTCTGGTTCAATTCAGGATAAAAGAGCCATCAGACATCATGTTGTGATCCAAAGTACAATGCCTCCTAAATTTTCTCCCCGCCTCTAAACTATCATTTTCTTGGCTATTCTCCGCCATTTTTCTATGGTGGCAGTTGCTATTTTATCCACAGATATACAAAATGGTGGCTGGGCTATCAGCTCAGAAGGCTTCTGGGATAACAATGGTAACAATAGAGTTGTGCTTCTCCTAGTGAAGAGCCACCTCCCCAATAAGCTGCTATAGTATTCCTCTGCTGGATGACTCCTCTCAGTTCACCCCTCAAATAAGTTGGATAAGAGGCCATTCTTGCTTGCTCAGCTCTGGAGTTGTTAGTCATAGACCTCCACCATGACGTGCATAAAATGAAATGTGTGTCTGTCATGCATACCATTGCTTATGTGGTCCAACTGAACATGATACAGATTAAGTTCACCACAGAATGTGACCAGAGACAGAATGAGGTCTTTGCCTTGAACTGTCGTTTTGTCATTCTGTCTGCACAGAATACAGTTCTGGGAGAATTTTTAAGGTAACGTTGTTTTAAGGAATGTTACAGCTGGACTAATTTTGCTTTCCTCAGTAAGAGTGGCCATGTGTTGGAGGAAAACGTCAGGCTACAAAATTGTATCCATCCACCAATTTTATTTTTTTAAAAAGAAGTCATGGCTGGAATAAGCAATAGGCATTTATTGCTGCAGGCTGTTGCAACAGAGCAAAATGTATAAAATAATACAAGCCTCAGGGTGGGGGGAGACATAGGAATAAATCAAAACCCATATGTTTATGTATTCATCATTATCCTCGCTTTCTTCTTCTTCAGAAATCCTGTACTTTATGCATTTTGCTGTGTAGTTTTAGTCTATAGTGATCAACAACAAATTGTGATCGCTTGACTAACACAAAAAGAAAATGCATAAGCGACTTCCCATTTTGATAACGCTAAAAGTGACAGATAGCTTTGTTTACTTTTGTGTTTTCCCTGGCTCCTGTCCCTTCCATCTGGTGGGCCCCCTCTTATATTCAGAGGCCAGGGGTTGATTTGGTAATATGGTGCCCTGAGCGAAGACAAAATTTGGTACCCCCTAAATATTCTTTATTTTCATGCTCTCCTCCTTCTTGCCTTCCATTCTGTGCCTCCTCTGCTTTCCATCCCCTCAGTTCAGTGCCCTGAAACACCCTCACTCCCCCTAAAGCCAGCATTGCTGAGGCCCTCTTAGGCTTACCTCCTTAGCGAGGGGTAGCAGCACTCCAAGGGTGACTGGGAGTTGTCATTTTCATTTGCCACAATGCCCTTGTGTCATTACATAACTCTGGGGCATTGGAGAAATGACAATGGGGTGGTTGTTTTTTTGCATAACTAGCTGCCTGGTGTGGAGGGCCTGGGGCAGATCTCAATTCTGGTAGAGCCCCAGCACCTGCCCTGTGACATAGCTGTCAAGTGTCCCTTATTTGAAGGGACAGTCCCTTATTCCAGCGCCACGTCCCGCTGCTGTCCCTTATTGATGGATGTCCCTTAAATGTCCCTTAAATGATGTCCCTTAAATTTCAAAGGAAGCAGCTCCTCTCCCTCCCTCCCTGCCGGCCAGGGAGGAGGGAGGCTCCAACTGTGTTGCTTGGCTGTGTTGCTCACCCAATAAGAAGTCTAAGAACGACTGGGGGTGTGGAGCTTGCATGCCTTGTGTGTGGCTAGTTAATGCAAGCTGAGGGGGGTTTTGAATGCTGGACGCCATTTTGTTGCATGTGCTGCTGCAAACTCTGCAGTGCAAAGCCAGGCCGGGGAGCCATCTTAAGTTGAGGCTGCATAGGCCTTGTGGTGCATGTGATTCAGATTCTATTCAGTTGAACCTCTGGTTACAAAGTTGGTTGGACAGTGTTCTTGAAGCTACCAGCATGAGTTTGACCAGACTGCAGGAGGACAGGAAGACTGGAGTGCCTGGAACAGGTGAGGCTGCAGGTCCCTTATTTTGGCTGCTGGTCCCTTATTTTCAAGGCTGCTGGTCCCTTATTTTCAAATCTGTAAGTTGACAGCTATGCCCTGTGATGCCAGGTGCTGAGGCAAGACCTGCTTTTGCTTTGTACAACTCAATTTTGCTCAACTCTGAAAGGGAAACTCACTTTTTGATAATCTACTGACCTGAACCCAGACATTCCAAACATATCAACTCTCTCTGTTTACCAACAACAACCCCTGTTTTCTGGATCATGACTCCACCCCGCCCATGAGTAGGGTTGGTGGAGAATTATGCAGTGATCAGACTTGATACCAAGCTCTGCAACAGCAAAACCCTGCATGGATAAACTTTTCTCTGCATTATATCTTTCAGTATACATCTCTGTGCGTGTGAGGGCTGGGTGGGAGGTTTGTTTTTCTTACTCACACATGTTGGTTGGTTTTTCTTTGGCTTTAGAAAACCCAGGCACTGATTCCCCCAAGTCTGTTTACAAAGATGCTCCAGGTCTAGCAGCAAGTCCCCTTTGGCTCTCCTCCTGAAGCAGTTTGCGTGCCAGGTGTTCACTTCACATCCTCAGCCATACTGGAATACATTAATGCAAACACTACATCAAAACATAGCCAAATTAATGATCAGTGCCAGGATGTACAGACCAAACTCCTTATTACTGGCTGCACCGAGACGTTTGTGCTTTGTGTCTGTTATCTCGCTTTCCAGATTATTAGAGAATCAGATAGCAATAGCTAATTAGCTGCTTTAATTATTGGTTGGTGTTTGCATAAATTATGCTGAGATGCCCAAGTCTGTCTTGCTTTACTCAACATAATATGTCAGGAGGATGCTCCGGGTTGTAAGATAATGAGATAACTGAAGCTGTGTTCTCTGTACACTTCATTACTGCAGGCTTCAGCCCAAAGAGGCGCCTGGCATTGGAGAATTTATCCCCAGTTTAACACAAGCCAATTGAAGCCTGCAACAACTGTTCATCACTCTCTGATCCTTTTACTGCTATTGCTTAGCAAGTGGTTTTCTAGAGGGAAATGGGGGATAACTGTGTGGATGGGATTCTTCCTGAAGAATACTCATGTCTCCTGATGGACTAAGATTGGCTTACCTAACTTCCCTTGGCTAAAATTGAGCACACCGGACTTGCTCTCAGAACCCAATGAGAACCCATTTCTCATGCCAAAAGCAGGTGCCATGTCTCACTGCTGGTGCATATATCCTACCCCAATTCATTATTTTAATTGTTTATTTCAATTTACATCTCAAAGAGTCCGTTGTTTGGCCTGATATCAAAGCAGGATAGGAAAATGCAAAGTATTAAATCTGTATGCTATATTTTAAAAAACCCTCCCTCTTATTTGCATGACTGATGTACCTGAATCCATGTCCTCTGTCTCCAGTTCTTTCTCATCTTAATAGTCTTAGTAATACTAATACATTCAGCAGGATTTAGTGGTAAAGCTTTTGCTGGACTGTGCCAATTCAAGGCATAAAGGGAAGAGAGGGCAGCATCGTCCTCATGCACAAAAAATCCTTGAATATAGGAAAGTAGCACATCAGGGAAAGGGCTAGGCTAGAATCCATCACCATAATATAATTTTTATTATCATTATGCCAGCATTTCATCAACACCTATGCAACCCTGCAACCTGAATTGTCATTGTTCAGGAAATGTTCTGGTCTGTTTCTGGGACCAATCCAAAGTGATGGTATTAGGCTTTAAAATACTAAGCAGCTTGGCGCCAAACTACCTGAAAGATCACTGCTGCCTGGACCCTGAGATGTTCATTGGAGTCCCTTTTTCAGATCAGGCAGATAGTTACAAA